CACTAGTATGGGGAACACGCAAAATCCGGCCGTGAGCACTCTCATTTCCTCTCTGCTAGTTCCTAACCCTTAAGCCTTTGGCCTTGTTTGTGTTCAAATGGTTCAAATCTTGAAAGCAGCCAAAGTAGGCGAAGTGGGTCGAGAAATACGATAGGGAACGATAGGTTTATAAATGAAAAGTTGTATTGTTTCACACGAGCTGAATGTTAAAAACGAAATTAATGTACTCTTTTTAATTATTGCTTATGTTTTTAAATGTGATCAACGTAAGTTTGTGTGAGAAAATGAGAGGATGTTGAATCATTGAGGACTTAAACATAGTTCAGAAACATGAACAGTTTGTCCAAAATTGTGTTTACGAAATTGCACTGCATTTAATAATCAAGATAATGTCAAGAAAACCAATTAGTCAACATGATGTACAACCTACGTTTACTGGATTTTTGGAGCGTATTAAACAGAAAAATGCTGTACAAGCAAGGTATGAGAAATATAAACATAATTCTACAATAAGTAACAAATCATTAAATAGTTCATTCATAAATTAATTGCTTCCTTTACAAATCATTATTATTTGGACACTTACAATTGGTACTTTCACAAATGCTTTATAGAATATAAAATGTAATTTAATTTCTTGTTTTACAGTACTCCTAAAGCGTCAAGTACAAATTTGCATTCAATAATACAAAAGAAGCATGATTCTCCTAGTGCAGAAGAATTGAGAGATGAAGTTAAAACATCAATAATAAGTATTGTAAGATCCTTCTTATTATATGAAAAATATATCATTTTATAATAATACAATTCTGAATTTTAGGGTAGCTCTGATGATTCATGGCATATTGATAATTCAATAAAAACTGAAGCAAAAATGAACAATAGCAATACCTCAAAGGAAGATAGTGAGGATGATTTTAAGATTGAAAAATTGATTAGGAATAGAACATATAAACAAAAACTAGGTTCAAAACTGAAATTGCGTCAGTTGTCTGACAGTGAAGATGATGCAGTAATAAAACCGAGTTTAAGTTTGAATAGGAAGAAAAGAAGTATTAGTAGCAATGAATCGAGCATAAGCCAAACTATTTCACAAGTTCAAGAAGATGAATTACGTAGTAATGTTATTTTGGAAACGTCATCTGAAAGCGACAGTACTTGTAGAACAGAAACGAAAGCGAAAAGAAAAACAGAGAGTACAATTAAAAGTCCAAGGACGCCGGTAAAGTATACGAAAGAAAGAAATGGAAATATTGTGATATCAGATTCGGATAGTACTCTGGATTTTAAACGTAGCCCAAAAGGGACTCCTACAAAGCGATGGATAGGGCCAGATTTGAAATTAAATTTAAAACCATTAGGTTTAGGAAAAGAATTGGACCCGTGGATACAATCTGCGAAGGAAAGACCAGTGATGTCTCCAATACCTGTAAATATCAATATAACTATTATTACCCAGTATGTTTAAAATTATTGAGGTAATTAAATTATTTTCAGGTCACAAAACACAAATTAGAGGACAGATGTAAAGAACTAAAGGATTTTCAGATGGAAATACTAGAAAAATTTTGCAACGCTATCATCCAAATACCTATACCAGTTTTGGAGAAATTTCCACAATTTAATGAGAAAACGTTTTTGGATTTAAGGCTTTTGTACCAGCATGCTAAAGCGAAGACTCGTTTGGTTGAAACAAAATTAACACGTCTGAAATCTGAAGAGGAACAAAATTCTGTTAACGATAGATTATCAGATATTACCGATATCACTGATACGTTTATCAACAGACCTGAAGTCAGACATGAAGTGACCAATAATTGTAAGGATAACTCTATTAACAGTAAATTGTCTGAAATCGATGAGCGTATAAATTATTCGCCATTAAATAAGGAATCAGAAATTGTAAAACAGCAGTCAATAATAAGTATTTCTGATAATGATAGTTTTACTATATCAAATGCCAATATTTCTGAATTGGAATCTAGTTATATGAAAGTACAAACAGATTCATCACCGATCAATAAGATGAATGATAAAAACATTGAGACGAAGGAACAAAAAAGTAATGCTGGTGCGCTTAGTTTAAATTCTCCCCCAGTTCAGAAAAAAAGTGCATTTCAATTAAAAAGGCCGATTAAAGCTACTGTGGATTCTCAAATTTCCAAACAAATAATAGAAACATGGAAAAAGGAAGCAGAATCTAAAACCATTGGCCTTCAATCTTCGATATCCTATTTGAATGCAAACACAAGCTCCAATATTACGCCAAAAAGTAATCGAATTACAATATCCAATATGAAGACAAATGTAGATTTCGATATCACCCCAGAAAGTAATCAAAGTACAACATCCAATTTGAAGACAAATACAAACTTCGATATTACGGAGAAAAGTGAAAAAATGAACATTTATGAAAGTGCATACTTTAAATCAAAGAAAGAAGATCAATTTGAAATTAAAAATAATTATGGTGGCAATTTTGAAATTCCTGTAAGTAAGGAAAACAGAAATAATCACATTGATTGGGATGCAATAAGCACATCTAATACAGGTAATACATTTTTAATCGTATGCAATCGTCTACAATGCAATTAATATATAATTATTTGCATTTTATAGATAATATTTCATACTCCGAAGATATAATCGATTATTTAGAAGATATTGAACAGCTTCCTGCATTGAGTGAAGAGTGCAACATAAAAACTACTGAACCAAGTAAGATTTAATTGAAATCTTAATTCTAATCACGTATTTGCAATTTTTAAAGTGTATTCATATTTATAGATACACAAGCTACATCTATACAAGGTAGTAATCATAGCGAATCTGATAAGGAGAACAAAATAAAGCAGAAAAATGTTCAAGAACCCATTTTCACCGGCAATTATAAAAACGATGGTGCTAGCAATGAATTCACCTCCTTAACGTACCCACATTCACGAGAAATGTTAAAGGTAAAATAATTGATCCTTATTTATTTATCATTAACACCAAAAATAATGTTTTAATATTTTACTCTTCAATTTGTAAGGTATTTAGACAAAAATTTGGATTGTATTCATT